TAAAAGCGTTGGTAAAACTATACTCTCATACATTCCCCTCTTTGCCTCCAAGGACAAAGTTCTTTGTCTCCACAGACTCCTAAGTGCACCACTCACTCTTTTTCCCTCATCAATTCTATGATTCACCTCATCTTTCATAGACCCATCCGCTGACACGTCCACTCCCAAATATCTGAATACGTTCACCTCCTCCATACTCTCTCCCTCCAATCTGATATTCAATCTTTCATCACCTAATCTTTTTGTTATCCTCATAACCTTACTCTTTCCTGTATTCACCTTTAATTTTCTTCTTTTGCACACCCTACCAAATTCATCCACCAATCTCTGCAACTTCTCTTCAGAATCTCCCAAGAGCACAGTGTCATCAGCAAAGAGCAGCTGTGACAACTCCCACTTTGTGTGTGATTCTTTATCTTTTAACTCCACGCCCCTTGCCAAGACCCTCGCATTTACTTCTCTTACAACCCCATCTATAAATATATTAAACAACCACGGTGACATCACACATCCTTGTCTAAGGCCTACTTTTACTGGGAAAAAATTTCCCTCTTTCCTACATACTCTAACTTGAGCCTCACTATCCTCGTAAAAACTCTTCACTGCTTTCAGTAACCTACCTCCTACACCATACACTTGCAACATCTGCCACATTGCCCCCCTATCCACCCTGTCATACGCCTTTTCCAAATCCATAAATGCCACAAAGACCTCTTTAGCCTTATCTAAATACTGTTCACTTATATGTTTCACTGTAAACACCTGGTCCACACACCCCCTACCTTTCCTAAAGCCTCCTTGTTCATCTGCTATCCTATTCTCCGTCTTACTCTTAATTCTTTCAATTATAACTCTACCATACACTTTACCAGGTACACTCAACAGACTTATCCCCCTATAATTTTTGCACTCTCTTTTATCCCCTTTGCCTTTATATAAAGGAACTATGCATGCTCTCTGCCAATCCCTAGGTACCTTACCCTCTTCCAAACATTTATTAAATAATTGCACCAACCACTCCAAAACTATATCCCCACCTGCTTTTAACATTTCTATCTTTATCCCATCAATCCCGGCTGCCTTACCCCCTTTCATTTTACCTACTGCCTCACGAACTTCCCCCACACTCACAACTGGCTCTTCCTCACTCCTACAAGATGTTATTCCTCCTTGCCCTATACACGAAATCACAGCTTCCCTATCTTCATCAACATTTAACAATTCCTCAAAATATTCCCTCCATCTTCCCAATACCTCTAACTCTCTATTTAATAACTCTCCTCTCCTATTTTTAACTGACAAATCCATTTGTTCTCTAGGCTTTCTTAACTTGTTAATCTCACTCCAAAACTTTTTCTTATTTTCAACAAAATTTGTTGATAACATCTCACCCACTCTCTCATTTGCTCTCTTTTTACATTGCTTCACCACTCTCTTAACTTCTCTCTTTTTCTCCATATACTCTTCCCTCCTTGCATCACTTCTACTTTGTAAAAAACTTCTCATATGCTAACTTTTTCTCCCTTACTACTCTCTTTACATCATCATTCCACCAATCGCTCCTCTTCCCTCCTGCACCCACTTTCCTGTAACCACAAACTTCTGCTGAACACTCTAACACTACATTTTTAAACCTACCCCATACCTCTTCGACCCCATTGCCTATGCTCTCATTAGCCCATCTATCCTCCAATAGCTGTTTATATCTTACCCTAACTGCCTCCTCTTTTAGTTTATAAACCTTCACCTCTCTCTTCCCTGATGCTTCTATTCTCCTTGTATCCCATCTACCTTTTACTCTCAGTGTAGCTACAACTAGAAAGTGATCTGATATATCTGTGGCCCCTCTATAAACATGTACATCCTGAAGTCTACTCAACAGTCTTTTATCTACCAATACATAATCCAACAAACTACTGTCATTTCGCCCTACATCATATCGTGTATACTTATTTATCCTCTTTTTCTTAAAATATGTATTACCTATAACTAAACCCCTTTCTATACAAAGTTCAATCAAAGGGCTCCCATTATCATTTACACCTGGCACCCCAAACTTACCTACCACACCCTCTCTAAAAGTTTCTCCTACTTTAGCATTCAAGTCCCCTACCACAATTACTCTCTCACTTGGTTCAAAGGCTCCTATACATTCACTTAACATCTCCCAAAATCTCTCTCTCTCCTCTGCATTCCTCTCTTCTCCAGGTGCATACACGCTTATTATGACCCACTTCTTGCATCCAACCTTTACTTTAATCCACATAATTCTTGAATTTACACATTCATATTCTCTTTTCTCCTTCCATAACTGATCATTTAACATTACTGCTACCCCTTCCTTTGCTCTAACTCTCTCAGATACTCCAGATTTAATCCCATTTATTTCCCCCCACTGAAACTCTCCTACCCCCTTCAGCTTTGTTTCGCTTAGGGCCAGGACATCCAACTTCTTTTCATTCATAACATCAGCAATCATCTGTTTCTTGTCTTCCGCACTACATCCACGCACATTTAAGCAACCCAGTTTTATAAAGTTTTTCTTCTTCTCTTTTTTAGTAATTTTATACGGGAGAAGGGGTTACTAGCCCATTGCTCCCGGCATTTTAGTCGCCTCATACGACACGCATGGCTTACGGAGGAAAGATTCTTTTCCACTTCCCCATGGACAATAGAAGAAATAAAAAAGAACAAGAGCTATTTAGAAAAAGGAGAAAAACCTAGATGTATGTATATATATATATGCATGTGCGTGTCTGTGAAGTGTGACCAAAGTGTAAGTAGGAGTAGCAAGATATCCCTGTTATCTTAGCGTGTTTATGAGACAGAAAAAGAAACCAGCAATCCTACCATCATGCAAAACAGTTACAGGTTTTTGTTTCACAGTCATCTGGCAGGACGGTAGTACTTCCCTGGGTGGTTGCTGTCTACCAACCTACTACCTATATCCACCCTCGATATCTCCATTTAAGAACCCCTACGATACTTATTCTGGACCTTATTTGGAAATTGGCATCTTCTGAAATTTGTGTGAAGTAAAGTAAAAGAACACAAGTGCAACTAATGTGACATTTTTAGTGTGGCAATGTTTCGCTCTCCAGGAGCTTTGTCAAGCCGTTACAAACAGTACATGGACACAGAGGGTATATATAGGCTCAGAGTGAGGTGCAATACTAGTGATAGTAGTAGTAGTGATACAAGTTGTAGTAGTAGTAGTAGTAATACAATATGGCAGAACAATTAACTCGCACATGAGTAAAAGGATATAAAAGCTATTACTTGGGTAACATAAAAATAGGTTAGACAAGTATTTCTAACACCAGAGTCCCCATCGCTTCCAGCACTTCAATAAAGGATCTAACCAGGACAAAATCAAAACACCACGAACCAGTCAATGCAGGAGTTTACACTATACCCTGTGGAGGCTGCGACAAGATTTATGTAGGTGAAACAGCAAGAAAACTCGACACCCGCCTCAATGAACACATTTACGCATGTAGGAACGATAACTTGAACAATGCCTGTATACAACACCGAAATTCCACCAATCATCTCATGAAATTCAGGGACGCCCAATTAGTGATCAAAGAAACTAATTTCTGCAGACGCAAGTGCCTTGAATCATTACTAATCGCTGTTTCGAATACAATTAGACAAAACAAAGGCAGCTTCACCATCTCTTAATTCTTAGCAAGAATCCTCCTGAAAACAGTAAACCCTGCCATCACATAGTCTCTCCTGTTAATACCACACAGCACATTACAGAGAATGAACAGTGAAACAGGCTGCCTCTATCCAGTCTCCAACAGAAATATTTGTCTAACCTATTTTTATGTTACCCAAGTAATAGCTTTTATATCCTTTTACTCATGTGCGAGTTAATTGTTCTACCATATTGTAACTACTACTACTACAACTTGTATCACTACTACTACTACCACTAGTATTGCACCTCACTCTGAGCCTATATACCTATATATACTGTTTGTAACAGCTTGACAAAACTCTTGGAAAGCGAAACGTTGCCACAATAAAAATGTCACATTAGTTGCACTTGTGTCCTTTTACTTTACATATTGTCGGTAATTCTACCAACATTATTACATTGTGTGAAATTGGCAAAACTGCCAATTTCTGACCACTTTATTGGTTACTTGAAATCGGTAAGTGGGTGGTTTCTTGTACTCATTCGATAGAAAAAATGAAGTTCTAGTGAAATAGATATGATTGTTGTCGACTAGTACACTGAAATTGGCTGAAAACAGGGCTCAAAGTCGGTGAAATCGCCGATGCGTCAACATCATCGAGACTGCTAACTTTGTGAGAGCATAATTCCCTAAATTTTCCATCAAATTTCATACTTTTGGTGTCATTATGATCGGGTTAAGATTCTCTATTATTTCAAAAGAAAAAATAATTTTTTTTCCCCAAAAATGTTCGACCCTGAGAACGAGTTTAGAAGAGGGCCTCTCGACCCTGAAATGGTTAAGACTATAAATATTTTAAGGTAATTAATGAATGTAATGTATATGTATTTTATCGCTCTGTGGAGGTTTAATTAAATGTCATAGCATATTACGTATGGGTGGGGTGGGGTTGGCTGACCTGGCCTGGCTGGCTATCATACCTCCCAAACCTGACTTACTACAAATATAACTCACCTCTCACCCTACATTAGGACTATAAATATTTTAAGGTAAGTAATGGGTGTACTGTGTATGTATTTTACTTTTTATTGTTTTTAATGCCTAGTTGCACTGCTAACTTAATAGATGTTAGTGTAAACTTCTTATCTGACATTTATATGCATTTACAAGTGGAAAAAATGGCATTCTGTTATCCAGCAATGTCTGCTTTCCAGCAGTGACCTGGAACCTAACCTGCCATATAAGTGGGGACTACTGTATACAAGTGTTCAGGTGTATAAGTGCACAAATGTACAGGTGTGCAAGCATACAAATGTAATAAACATGCACATCAATGAAACTTAGAGTGACTACACTCTGAAGAAGAGGCGAGGATGTTGTTGTTGGTAGGTTGATCTGAACTGTGGTGTCATCACACTTCTGGTGAGGATGTTGTTGTTGGTAGGTTGATCTGAACTGTGGTGTCATCACACTTCTGGTGAGGATGTTGTTGTTGGTAGGTTGATCTGAACTGTGGTGTCATCACACTTCTGGTGAGGATGTTGTTGTTGGTAGGTTGATCTGAACTGTGGTGTCATCACACTTCTGGTGAGGATGTTGTTGTTGGTAGGTTGATCTGAACTGTGGTGTCATCACACTTCTGGTGAGGATGTTGTTGTTGGAAGGTTGATCTGAACTGTGGTGTCATCACACTTCTGGTGAGGATGTTGTTGTTGGTAGGTTGATCTGAACTGTGGTGTCATCACACTTCTGGTGAGGATGTTGTTGTTGGAAGGTTGATCTGAACTGTGGTGTCATCACACTTCTGGTGAGGATGTTGTTGTTGGAAGGTTGATCTGAACTGTGGTGTCATCACACTTCTGGTGAGGATGTTGTTGTTGGTAGGTTGATCTGAACTGTGGTGTCATCACACTTCTGGTGAGGATGTTGTTGTTGGTAGGTTGATCTGAACTGTGGTGTCATCACACTTCTGGTGAGGATGTTGTTGTTGGTAGGTTGATCTGAACTGTGGTGTCATCACACTTCTGGTGAGGATGTTGTTGTTGGTAGGTTGATCTGAACTGTGGTGTCATCACACTTCTGGTGAGGATGTTGTTGTTGGAAGGTTGATCTGAACTGTGGTGTCATCACACTTCTGGTGAGGATGTTGTTGTTGGTAGGTTGATCTGAACTGTGGTGTCATCACACTTCTGGTGAGGATGTTGTTGTTGGAAGGTTGATCTGAACTGTGGTGTCATCACACTTCTGGTGAGGATGTTGTTGTTGGAAGGTTGATCTGAACTGTGGTGTCATCACACTTCTGGTGAGGATGTTGTTGTTGGTAGGTTGATCTGAACTGTGGTGTCATCACACTTCTGGCAAGGATGTTGTTGTTGGTAGGTTGATCTGAACTGTGGTGTCATCACACTTCTGGCAAGGATGTTGTTGTTGGTAGGTTGATCTGAACTGTGGTGTCATCACACTTCTGGTGAGGATGTTGTTGGAAATATAAACACAAATGCAGTATAATGTGATCCTTTATTGACAACGTTTCACCCACACAGTGGGCTTTTTCAAGTCACACACGAATCTACCTGGGGTTGGAAGGTACAAGAGTATTTATAGTCAGAATGTTGAAGTCAAGTGAAGAATGCTGCATCTGATGATCTACCGGGTGGGGTTATAGACTCTTGGGTAGCTTGGCAGGGGTATTGGACAAGTTGTAGACCTTCTGCAGTGTTCTTATGTGGGATAGCGATGAAGAAGTTTCTTGGCGAGTGGTTCAGCTATGTTATAGAAGCCATTGTTCTGGTTGAAATTGTTGGTTATAGAGATAAACGATGATTCCAGGATTCTTCTGTATTGAGTGTTGTCTTCTGTGGCTATAAGTCTTGAGTTTCTGTAGTTAATTAAATGGTTGTGTGAATTGCGATGTTGTACACAGGCATTCCTTGTATCGTCAGTCCTGCTTGCATATTGGTGTTCTGAAATACGTGTTTGGAGGTCTCTTGATGTTTCGCCCACATATAATTTGTTGCAGTCATTACAAGGGATTATGTATACCCCTGCAGAGGATGGAGGCTTGTCCTGTGTCTACTACTGGTGATGTCCTTGATGGTCGTGGTTGTGGAGGTAGATACTTGGAATGATGTTTTGGCAAAGATGTTGGAAACATGTTTGGCAATGGAGTTGGTGGGAAGGACTATGTATCTCTTCTCGGCAGTGTCTTCTCTGGGTGTGTTGAAGATGTTTAATGCTCGCACCCAGAGAAGACACTGCCGAGAAGAGATACATAGTCCTTCCCACCAACTCCATTGCCAAACATGTTTCCAACATCTTTGCCAAAACATCATTCCAAGTATCTACCTCCACAACCACGACCATCAAGGACATCACCAGTAGTAGACAGGACAAGCCTCCATCCTCTGCAGGGGTATACATAATCCCTTGTAATGACTGCAACAAATTATATGTGGGCGAAACATCAAGAGACCTCCAAACACGTATTTCAGAACACCAATATGCAAGCAGGACTGACGATACAAGGAATGCCTGTGTACAACATCGCAATTCACACAACCATTTAATTAACTACAGAAACTCAAGACTTATAGCCACAGAAGACAACACTCAATACAGAAGAATCCTGGAATCATCGTTTATCTCTATAACCAACTACCTTGATGAGAGATGGCTGGTGTGTTAAACAAAGAAAATAAAGGGGGGGAGGGACGGATACACAGAGGCAGAGAGGGAGGGAGGGGGGAGGGACATACACACACACAGGCAGAGGGGGGAGGGGGGAGGGACATACACACACACAGGCAGAGAAGGGAGGGATACCCACAGGCATATGAGAGGGATGGCCACCCACAGGCAGACAATGGGAAGGGACACACACAGGCACTGGAGAAGGGGGGAGGGACACACAGGCACTGGAGAAGGGGGGTGGGACACACACAGGCACTAGAGAAGGGGGGAGGGACACACACAGGCAGAGAGGGGGTGGGATATACACATAGGCAGTGGGGAGGGAGGGACACACATACGCAGAGTGTTTTTTATTAGTCAATAATAAACACTTTGGCAAATTTACATGGTACTTTCTCACTGCCTTCAAGACCCAACAAACTGGTACTCAAATGGCCAATACATGACTTGAAGTCACTTACATTTACTTTAAATGTCCTAAACCTATCCAACAGATATTCAACAAACGACACATGGTCATCCCGCATATGAACAACTGCAATTATAACAGCTAGGTAATCTTTCATAAATATTTCTAAGACATCAATCTGCTTCAGTTAATAAGGGTTTAACCCCCTATGAATGGAACAATAAAAACAAGAATATAATAATGCAGGAAAATAATAATAATAATAATAATAATAATAATACAGTAATAATTTAAACCCTACAACGAAAAATATTTACAAAAGAAAGTCACATTTAATAAAATTAACAAAGGCACTGTACAATTAAACCCCCAAATTTGTGGGCTTTGAGTTTCCAACTTCTTGCTGATGGGCACCTGGTGAACTGATTCAATTATTTAACAAGTTCTTCAAGGTGGCCATTTTTGGGGGAACTTGGAGTACAATCCCTAAATCGAAAACACCCACAGCATAGCAAGCCCTCCCTTCCTTATGGCATTCATGCATTTCTGAAAAATATTCTTATGTTGAATTTGGAATTCGGAACTAATTGACACCCACATTAAAATCTGAGATGCATTTCCAAGCATAAATGTAAATAAATTTTTAAACTTAGAATATTTAACTGATAAGTTACACTAAATACTTTTAATCCTTTTCACTTACAAAAAGTATTAAACATTGTTTAATTAATGTACACTGTCCATGTTAATTTAACAGAACTACAATATGCAGTAGAGTACAAAACAGATGTATATGGGTGGGCAACATGTTGCTGGGCTGCTCTGAGAGGGAAAAGAAGAGTGGGAAGGATGGTTTCAAGATCAAACAGTCCATTATGTAGGCACTGATTAATACACATGACTGCTACAATTCTTGACCAATCTTTACCAAACAAATATGAACTCTTCATACATACATGAAATATATATAGTGTATGCAAAATATGCAAGCATTTGGTAAAAAAATAATAGCCGAGAAAAACTATTTATGAAAATAATTTGGTTAAATACAATACGCTCCCTGTAATAACATGCAGGATTCATTCCTGAAAACTGGCACTTACAAAATATAGCATTATGTAAAGGTAAGAAAATATGGGAAAAATAGGGTTGTGTTCCTTGGACTTTCAAAATTGTCAAACTTTTTTTGATACTGTAATTCTATCACATATAAAATAATATGGTTTATCTTTTCGTACAATCCGTTAGTCAATATTTGAGCATTTGGGAAAAATGAGGATTAATACAAACCTGCAGGGTCAAGTTAGTTGTAGCAACATTTATCATGAAATATGCTCAGTACATGTAGGAGTCAGCCTAAGCTCTTTGTGTTCGAGTTAATAGGGCCAGAGGCACTTTACACTGTATTAAGCCATCAACATTTGAACTTCAGTAGAAATAAGAACCACAATTCCTTTCCAAACTGTACATAACATAGGATCTCACCATACCTTTACCAAATAAACAAACGAAAACAAAGCAGAGCCTCGATTAAGATGTGATCTGTTAGGATATTTTTGTCAAATGATGGTTGAAAAATTGTGGCATTTTTTCAGTCATGACCCCATGAAGTTCATTTATGATGCTGCTACTTTAGGGGAAAAATATGAAGCGCTGCACAATTGCAGGTGCTTTCTTCCCCATCTTGTGCTCAGCCAGCCTAAGGATCAGGCTATTAATGTTTTTATAGGGAAGGCCTAGTCACACTTAATGTACACAACTTCTCGCGCCTCAGTGCTTCATAAGAACATAAGAAAGGAGGAACACTGCAGCAGGACTGTTGGCCCATACTAGGCAAGTCCTTCAAAATCCATCCCACTAACTGAATTGCCCAACCCAATTTTCAATGCTACCCAAGCAATAAACTTTGATAATTCTATTTACTCATGTGCAAGTCCCACTCAAATCCAACCACTCACACTCATGTATTTATCCAACCTAAATTTGAAACTACCCAAGGTTTTAGCCTCAATAATCCCTACTAGGCAGACTGTTCCACTCATCAACTACCCTATTTCCAAACCAATGCTTTCCTATATCCTTTCTAAATCTAAACTTGTTTAATTTGAATCCATTACTGCAGGCATACATACACATAGAGCATGCATGCACATCCCATACCATGCTCAGCTCTGTGCTAGTACACTGATTTTTTTTTATCTTTTCAGCATATCTGTTATGCCAAGATGCAGTTGTTATATACATGCATATGTTTTTCATATTTGTTCATCTTTCTAATATTACATTGTGATTATCATCATTAATAGCTAAAACAAGAGTAATCAGCTTTATACAGTGGACCCTCGGCTAATGATTTTAAACCATTTCAGAGAGCTTGTCAACCGATTTTATCATTAGCCAAATAAATTTTCCCCAAAAGAAATAATGGAAATCCAATTAATCCATTCCAGATATGAAATATACATTTTCCTACACAGAAAACAATGAGACATGCAGAATAAACAATACTGAAATGACACTTACCTTTATTGAGGACTTACTGATGAGTAATGAGATGGGAGGAGGGCAGAGGATGGAGGAGTTTACAATTGTTTGGAAGGGAAGTCCCCTTCCATAAAGACTTTAGGTAACAAGTCCTTTTTGGGGTTACCTCCCTTCTTTGTTTTTTAATGAGAGTTCGCCTGTCTTTCATAGGCTTATGTCCTGGGAGTGCCTTTTTATTCTGAGTAATGTTGGTCCTGTTTGGCATTTTCTTCCAAAACAGGCCTGTTTCATCACAATTAAACACTTTTTGGGGTTTTAATTTTTCAGTGTCTATGCAATCCTTGAATTTCTGCACATATTTTTCAGCCGCTTCTTGGTCCGAACTGGCAGCCTCACCATGTCTTATCACACTGTGTATGCCACTATGATTCTTAAATCTCTCAAACCAACCTTTGCTGGCCTTAAAATCACTAACATCAACACTAGTTCCAGGCATTTTCTTAATGAGATCCGCATATAAGTGCCTTGCCTTTTCACATATGATTGACTGAGAAATACTATCTCCTGATAATTGTTTATCGTTGATCCACACCAACAACAGTCTCTCCACATCTTCGAGTACAGTAGGGCCCCGCTTTACGGCGTTTTGCTTTACGGCATTCCGCTAATACAGTCATTTCAAATTATGACTAAAACTCACTATACGGCTCCCCCCACCTGACTTTCTAATACGGTTACCGCGCCCCACCCTGTTTGTTTACATTCTCTGTGAGATCCATCAGCACTAAGTCTCTCCATTTTGTCTGGAAATTCCAAAATTTCAAGTGTTTTTAAAAGTTATTTCATATTTTATATATACAGTGGACCCCCGCATAACGATGGCATCACATAGCGATTAATCCGCATACCGCTTGCTTTAATCGCAAAAATT